CTCTCTCTCTCTCTCTCTCTCTCTCTCTCTCTCTCTCTCTCTCTCTCTCTCTCTCTCTCTCTCTCTCTCTCACTCTCACTCTCACTCTCACTCTCACACTCTCTCTCTCTCTCTCTCTCTCTCAAACAAACACCTGTTACCCCTAAAAAAGGCAGTAAAAAGAGAAAAAGAGCCATACGAAAGAAAAGATACAGATTACACATAAAAATCTGTCGTCCGTGCCGCGCGTCCCCCTCGCGGCCGCACAAACACATGTCATCGAGTCCTTGCCAAACCCTTGCCTGCGAACCCGACGGCTGTCATTTAGCGCCTTCGAGGAATGCGTTTGGCTCCGCAGTACGGTTTCTCGTCCGAATGGAGAGTTTCTGGCGTCCTTCGCTGGCGACGGTGCGGTTCGTTGTACGTTGTTGGTGTTCTTGAAGCGTAAAAGAGTGGATTTTTAATATTTCTTCCTCTTTTATTCTCGTTTGTTTTAGTTTTAAGGGCACGTTGAGAAATGGTTGATGAGTATTTTCATTTAGAATGGTATAGGTAAGGCAGTTAGACTAGTGTGATCATATAATCAGTTGTGCTAACTTTAACTTGAAACGCTTAATAAAGGTCACAGGTAGATGTCTTTGTTGATTAATCAACAGCAAGATATTTTTACTGTTGATCAAAAGATGGCGCTTCTCTGTTACATGCTAATGTCACCAGCCGACTTCCCCAACCACTTAATAGATGGCGCTGAATTACCTTAACAATAGCAATAACAATAGGTATTCAAAACATATTCACCGAATTTATATAGAGATGGCATATAATGTGACATAATTAAGAAATAATCAAAACAGAACAGTAAAGCACATGAACTTAACCCATTCGCGCCGGGCGTCACGTATAGGTGACGGGCCCACTGTGAGTTTACTTGTTTGATTGTTTACAAACCTAGATGGCTCCACTTGCACTTGTACTGCCTGTCTCGTCTGTTTACCCTTTTCTTTAATTTACGAAATTATTTTGCGTTATCTTATTTTGCTGTTAATAATGTTTATAACATTATTGTAATTATAATGTTTATAATTAAAATAACCATCGATATTCATAGCACTAGTAAAAATACATTTTCCCGCCAAATGAAATCCGGTAAAGCAGAGCCATCTAATGTAGAGAAATTTCATTAAGAAAAAAAAAAATGAGCACAGCATTTCCCCCATTTTTTGTTCATTTTTACCCGGCGCGAATGGGTTAAAAAAAGGATTATATCCTACTAACGAACAAGAAGCCCTACTATAGTTTAATAAAAAAAAAACACCGAAAGGGAATAAAAAAGAAAAGAAAAAGAAAGACTAGAAACTAGAATAAGCTTTAAGAACACTTCCACCAAAAGTCGGCCTTAGAAGGAAAAAAAAAAAGAAGAAGGTAGAAACGAGTTAGATTGAGCGCGGAGAGCATTGACGCCAGCGCCATCTGCAAAACAAGGAACCGTACGGAACCGCAGGCAGAAAGTTGGAACAATGGAGCTCACATCAAAGGAGGCCTTCTTTCTTCTCTGCTGTCTTTTCCTCTTGTTTCTGTGTCATTTCTCTCTCGCTCTCTCTCTCTCTCGTAATGGGTAAATCAACAATGGTTTCAGTTCGCGGTTCAAGTCATAAAAAAAGGGAAAAAATCAGATTTTGTTCTCTTTTTACTTCATAGGTATTTTTTTCTTTCCATTGGCTGAAGTCGCTTTCTCTTCGTCACCTTCGGGATTTCACAAAGAGTGTAAAGATTTCGAGAATACTTTTGGGCGAGGTTTTAGGCGACGCCTTCGGGAGCCTGCGGGGCGTCGAGGGCCGTCCCACGAGCGGCGTGATCGGCGGGCAGTGACGTCACAGGCGACGAAACTTGTTTACCGAGGAGTTTGTCCGCGCGTGACGTCATCTCTATGCGGTCATGCCCGCCTATGTGGACAGGCCTTGAGGGAATACCATGATTTATGTGCAATTTGGGAGAAAATGGTATTGGAGATGACGGCAATGTAATAATGTAACCATAATGTTACTACTGATACTACCAATAATGTTAATAATGCTAATGCTAATGTTACTCAAGTAAAACTAGCATTTGACAGCACACCTTCATTCATTCACACACAAACACAAGCATCAACGCACACGAACCCATATCCCCGATACACGCATACCCTCCCATTCCCTTCCCCCCTTCCCTCCCTCTCTCCCTCCCCCTTCCCTCCCTCCCTCCCTCCCTCCCTCCAGCCGCCCTTTCCATACCGCCCCTACTAACCGCCCCCCCCTCGCCCCCAGGGTACTTCGGGTTGTGGAAGTGGTGCACGGCCAACGCGGGCGGCAAGCTGGAGTGCACGGGGAAGCTGGACGACTTCGACTCGCTGCTGAGCACGTCCTTCAAGGCGGCCACCATCCTCGTGGGCCTCTCGGTGGTCATCACGCTGCTGTGCATCTGCTGCATGCTGCTCTTCTTCTTCTGCAGCTCCTCCACGGTCTTCCACGTCTCCGGCTGCCTCCAGCTGCTCTCCGGTGGGTCACGCGCCCAGGCCGGCCTGGGAGTGTGTGTGTGTGTGTGTGTGTGTGTGTGTGTGTGTGTGTGTGTGTGTGTGTGTGTGTGTGTGTGTGTGTGTGTGTTTGTGTTTGTGCTTATTTATTTGTGGTTTTTAATTTAATACATGTGAGTGTGGCCTTCCATCTGGTTCCTGAGTGTATTTATAATTGCATTGTAGAGTAAGTTTCAGCGTATGTGTTTGTGTGTGGTCGTGTGTGTTAAACTGTTAAAAAAAGAAGGAAAAGAAAAGGATGACATCGCGTAAAAACGCAAAAAGTTAACGGTAAGAAAAGGAGAACAAGAAGATAAAGAAGAAAAACAAAACTGAACAGATAAATGTTAAAGAAGAGGATCTGATAATGAGAAAGATACTGACGATCAGAAGGATCATACGGCAGTGATGATCACGATGATAATGATTATGGTAATGATAATGGAGATTTCAATGATCATAATGACAGTAATTATTATGATGATAATGATACTGGTAGCATAATAATAATAAAAGTAATAATGAAAATAATTATAATAAAATGATAATAATAGTAATAATAGAAATAATATTAATAATGATAATAGTGATGGAAATAATATAACAATAATAATAATAATAATAATAATAATGATAATAATAATAATAATAATGATAATAATAATAATTATGATAATGATAATAATAATAATGATGATGATGATGATGATGACGATGATAATAATAATATAATAATGATAATAATAATAATAATAATAATAATAATAATAATAATAACAATAATAATAATAATAATAATCATAATAATAATAATAATAATGATGATGATAATAATAATAATTATGATAATAATGATGATGATGATGATGATGATGATGATGATGATGATAATAATATAATAATAATAATAATAATAATAATAATAATAGTAATGGTAATAATAATAATAATGACAGTAATGATAAGAATAACGATTATTAATGGTAATAATTATGATAATAATGATAATAGAATATAATAATAATGATAATAATAATAATAATAATAATAATGATACTAATAATAATAATAATAATAATAATAATGATACTAATAATGATAATAATAATAATAATGAGAAGGATGAAGATGATAGTGATGGTAACGATAATGATGTTAATAGTATTAAAAAGAAAAATAATGATAACGGCAATAATGATCATATTCATAATAATGATGATAATGTAGTTGTAATGATAATGATAACAATCATTATGATATAGATGATAATGATAAAGATAATGGTAATATTAATAGCAGTAATAAAAGAGGGGTAATGGTGGTAGCAATGATAATGATAATGACAATGGTAGAAGAAAAGAAAACAGAAAAAATGAAGCGAAAAATAAATGAAGGAACAAAAGCGATGAACTTTTAAATCAAGTGAGCGGAAGTGACGTCATCGATGCGACTTCCGGTTCCATTATTAAGGATCATCTTCGCGGTCGAGTTGGGTTCGCCGGCGCCTCGGGGAACTCGTGGCGCTGGTTGCGATTTTTGCATCTTTTGCCTCCTTCTCGCCTCGTTCCTGCTCGTATTCATTTATTCTATTTTTTCTTCCTTCCTCCTCCTCCTCTTCTTCTTCGTCGTCGTCCTCCTCCTACTCTTCTTCTTCTTCTTCTTCTTCTTCTTCTTCCTCCTCCTCCTCCTCCTCCTCCTCCTCCTCCTCCTCCTCCTCCTTCTTCTTCTTCTCCTTCTTCTTCTTCTTCTTCTTCGTTCATGTCCTACTTGTCCCCCACGTCCTCCTCCTCGTTCTCCTTCTTCTTCTCCTTCTTCTTCTTCTTCTTCTTCTTCTTCTTCTTCTTCTTCTTCTTCTTCTTCTTCTTCTTCCTCTTCCTCTTCTTCTTCTTCTTCTTCTTCTTCTTCTTCTTCTTCTTCTTCTTCTTCTTCTTCTTCTTCTTCTTCTTCTTCCTCATCATCATCCCCTCCCCCCTCCCGGCAAGGCATTGAGTCTTGGGTCAAAACGCCTTCGTGTTCCTCGACGGCACTTGTGTTCTTAATCTCTTCTTGATCTGCTGATTTCTATCTATTTATCCATTTACATCGTTGCGTAATTACAAACAGACAGCCAAACCAATCAGCAGGGATTTGCAACTTCATTACACACGCATGAGCGGTAAATTTGGGCGCAGACACGTCTTTTACATGTATGAATATTTTCTTGTGTGCGTGTTAGGCCGTGAGTGGTACCTGCGAACTAATGGTTTTTGGGGGAATGAATGTGGCGAGCGTGCGCTTATTGAAGTGTGGGGAAGGGGGTGGGGGTGGATAGGTAGGGATGTGGGTCGAGTTTTATGTGGTCTTGTGTTTTGTCTTTTTGTCTTTTCATCCTCTCTCTCTCTCTCTCTCTCTCTCTCTCTCTCTCTCTCTCTCTCTCTCTCTCTCTCTCTCTCTCTCTCTCTCTCTCTCTCTCTCTCTCTCTCTCTCTCTCTCTCTCTCTCTCTCGTTCTCTCTCTCTCTCTCTCTCTCTCTCTCTCTCTCTCTCTCTCTCTCTCTCTCTCTCTCTCTCTCTCTCTCTCTCTCTCTCTCTCTCTCTCTCTCTCTCTCTCTCTCCCCCCCCCTCTCTCCCTCTCCCTCCCTCCCACCCTCCCTCCCTTTCTCTTTCTTTCTTTCACTTCCTCTCCTCCCCCCCTCTCTCTCCCCCTCCCTCTCCTTCCCACCTTCTCCGATTCCGTCTCTTTCTCCTCTTTCCAGCATTTCGACCGTGAACAAAATCCTTGACACGATAGTTTAAATCTTTTCTTTTCTTTTTGTGTCGTTTTATAGCAAAAGAAAATGGGAAAATTTCCCGCCCATTTTCAAGGTCACTTTCTCAAATTTATGAGAATTATTTCCTTGGCATCAAAGCTCTTCGTATATTTTCCGTTTACTCTTCCTTTCTTGCTGTCTATTTTTCGCTTCACTTCATCGCTTCTGATTAATTGTTTTCACATTTTATTTTTACTTATTATTACTATTTTTTTCGCCAGCGTTTCTCTCTCACAATTTTCCTTTCTCCTTCATATCTTCCCGTACTCCGTTCCAGTAAAAAAGGGAAGAAATATAAACGAAAGCCAGAACCGAGAGCCAAAACCAACAGAAAGCGAAAGAAAAGCGAACCAAATTGAAACAAAGCTTAGTGAAAGGTCGCGTTCACAGGCGCACCAAAGCGTGACGTCACAGCCATGAGGAATTCCTGAGGCGTGACGTCACAGCGCGTTCACAAGTGCCGCTCCTCCGTGTAAAGTTTCCCTTTGGATTCAGTGCGAGGTTGTTGGCATCAATGTCAATAATTTTCTCCGTCAAAAATGTTAGCTTTGTCGATATCGATAGGAGTCGGAATGTCATCGTTTTCGTAATCACTCTGTGGTTGTCTGTCAATAGTTCTATCTATGTGTGAGTGAGTGTGTGAGTGTGTGTGTGTGTGTGTGTGTGTGTGTGTGAGTGAGTGAGTGTGTGAGTGTGTGTGTGTGTGTGTGTGTGTGTGTGTGTGTGTGTGTGTGTGTGTGTGTGTGTGTGTGTCTTATGTTTTTGTTTGTGCTTGTGTTTGCTCAGGAAGTGTGCGCGCGGAGAAAGGGGGGAAGGAGAGCATGCAACCGCAAGCAGAGCAAACGAAGAAAAGAGATTTGGAGAACTTCGAAAGCGTCGCTGGCTGGCCGACGCGGCTGAGATTTTTTGTTCTCGATTTGGAAATATTTTCTCACTTCTTTTTTTTTGTATTCATATTGTTTAGTGTTTTAAAATAACGTGTCGTATTTATAGGTTGATTTTAACATATAAGCAGTATAACCATCGCTCATTGATTCTAAAGATAATAATAATAATAATAATAATAATAATAATAATAATAATAATAATAATAATAATAGTAATAATGATAATGAAAATAATGGTACTACTACTACTACTACTAATAATAATGATAATAATAACAATAATAATGATAATGATAATAATGATAATAGTAATGGTAATAATAATGATTCTACTACTAATAATGGCAATGATAACAAAAATAAAAACAATAATGATAAAACTGATAATAATGGTAATGACAATGGTAAAGATAATTAGGATGATAATGAGACCATTTATAATTGTAATTACTTTTATTACTATTACAATATCACTATCATTATTATCATTGTCATTATTATTATTATTATTATTATTATTATTATTATTATTATTATTATTATTATTATTATTATTATTATTATTATTATCTCTATTATTATTATTGCTATGATGATAATGGTGCTATCATTTTTCTTCTATTTCTTCTTTTTCTTATTATTCTTATTATTATTAGGAAATAATAAAGATAATGAAATAATGATCCAAACGAAACATTAAACTATTATATATCTTGTGGGACATTCATCGCCTCTGCTTTTCGCTCAGTTTCAATACGTTTTTATCGCACAAAAACCGTTGAAAAGAAAGAAAAACATTTTGAACGCGACCGAAACCCAGCGAACCAAATCCAGTTTTGTTTCGATCAGATTTTCAGATCGTCACTGCATCCGAAAGTGTGAACGCGATTTTTGTATATATTCTTTTATATTTTGAAGTATATATATACATTTTTTTTTTATCCAAGATTACAGTTGACTGACATGCACTTTCATTTTTTGTGATCTATTCTGTGTCTCATTTCCGCATGGCGTAACAAAAATTTGTCATGCGGACAGATTGAAGTGTTCGAATGCATTTTATGTGCTCCGGATTTCTATGAAGGAATAGAAGTGACTTGCAATATGTACACACACACACACACACACACACACACACACACACACACACACACACACACACACACACACACACACACACACACACACACACATACACACAAACATACACACAAACATACACACAAACAAACACACAGACACACATGCAAACACACACAAACACACACACACACACACACACACACACACACACAC